TATGGGGAGCTACTCGGGCGGATCCAGCCCTTGGCCAACAAATCATCGAGTTGTGCGCGGAGTACCTCAAGCTCCTCCTCGCTCATCCGATAGATGCAACCTTTCGGCGGCACGACACCGGCCTCAAGAATGATCTCGTGAGAGATCGGCCGACCCGGCACCACACCGGTAGGTGACTCGAAGATGTCGGCGAACTCGTCCAGCAACCGTACCACACGGGGGTCCGAAGACAAGCCCGTGGGTGAAGAGTCGGCTACCGCGACGGTCCGTAGGAAACATATGCCGATTTCCTCGGGTTGCTCGTAAGCACAAGTTGCCCGGAATGATTTGGCCGTCACCACTTGGCACCGGATCGAAGAGTGCGGTAGAGGAATCGTACACACCACTTCCGCACCGAAGGCGTCGCGAACGCTAAGAGTCCGCCGATGGAAGTTGACCGTGTGATCCGCACTTGCAAGCCAAGGCATTCCGAGAATGATGTCGAAGTCCGTGTCGAGAATATCGAACGTCACCGGTTCGCATGCATGAGGTGCGAAGTAGACCGGTACGGCCTCGATGTAACGGTCGAGTAGTTGCTGCGTCTTTCCATCCGCCAACTTGATCGGCGTCGGGTTTGCCTTTCTCCGAACTTGTGCGCCAAGGCCAGCTCTTTGCATAAAAGACTGGCTCATGAAGTTGCGAGTCGCGCCGCTATCCAGCAAAGCCCTGCAGGACGCTTGCCCAACCTGGATGCGGACATACATGAGCGGTGCATTGTTGTTATCATACCGCTACGTGCGAAACTCGCGGGCCATCTTGGAAACGTATGCCAGGATGTCCCCCACCGCGACTTCGTCATCCGTCGGCGAAGTTGGTGGTGCATAGAAGGAAAGGTAAGTGTGTAGATGAGTGCATAGTGCTGCGCATTGCGGTCCCGACAAACAGCCTGTGGTCGGGAGAGGAAGCCATGCAAAGTCCTCAGACGTGAGCGGGTCCAAAACCTCTATCTTGAACTCGCGCGCCGAATCCCGTGACGAACCACTTGAAGACGATATGTCGCTGTTGCCGGACGGAGAAGAAACCGCACACACTCYTTGTCCTTGAGCTTGAGTACCCAGCGTTGGAACGAGCCGGGCAGCATAGTCCTCAAAAGAAAATAGAAGCGGAGGACTGTCGACTTCCACGTGCGCCTCGGAATGAAGGCTGGTCACTCGCGAAGAAACCAGTTCCGAAGGCGTCGAGAGTGTCGTCGCGTCACTCTCGGCGGTGCTCAGTTTCCCTGTCTGCCCTTGCCTTTCAATGGGCAAACCTGCGTCTGATGAAGATCGCTGTTGCACCAAAGGCAATAGTGGAATCTCTCGCG